TCGGGGCCGGGGGACAGGGTGGGCGGGACCTGGGAGAGGGTGAAGGGGTGTTAGGCGGTGACCCCCCACCCCCTTGTCTGAAATTCGCCGCTCCTGAGAGTTCACATCTTCAGCCTCCCCTCCGCTCACGCTGATTTCTTGTGGAAGCCCCAATCCTAGAGCCTGCCCCTGCCCCAACTCCACGGGGGGTCCCCAGCCTGCACCCCCAGGCTCCTGCTGGCTGCCTCCCTTCCCGGCCTCCGGGAAGGGGTGCGGGTGGTTCTCAGTGCACGCTCCCCTTCTCTCCCACGCAGCCCTGTATACTCCAGCTCAGACCCTCTCCCCTCTCCGGGGACCCTGGGTCTCCCCCGTTTCTGCCGACTCTGCCTGAGTCTCGTCCTCCTCCATCTCTGCAGGTCCCCCTTCCGGTGCCTCCTGCTCTTGGGGGACCCCCTGTCTCCCCTAAGCCCCCTCCTCTCCTCCCTGCCCCCTCCCCTCTCCCCTTCTCCTCCATCACCCCGCCCCCCCTACCTGAGGGAGGGGTCCCTGCGCACAGCTTCAGCCGCCAGCTGCTTACAACTTCAGCCTCGACCCATGGCTTTTAACCCCTCAACGCCCTCCCCCAGCGCGCTCAGCATTTCCCGGTGGCTGGCTCCCCCTCTCCACCCCCAGTGGCTCAGCAGGCTGTCCGCAGGCATCCCCCGGCCTGGGCTCGGCCCTCCGCGTGGGGCGGAGCTTCTAGGACAAGCTGGGACCCAGATCTGGCCCTGCCCAATCCCGGGTTGAACCCGTGTTGAACTTTCCGGGCACCAGGGCGCAACCGAGGGGAGGGGGAAAACCCATTTCCTTCCCAAACACCTTGGCCATCTCTAACTTCAACCGTTTCCATCCCAATCCTCCCTTCTCTCCGAGGTGTGCAGTGTTTAAATACGGCAGATCCCGGGTGGCCTTTTCCGCCCCGTTTCGGCCTCTTTGCCCACATAACCACGCCCCTTCCCCAGCCCACCTGCTCCTCACCTCCAGTCTCACTGCCAGCCTCGTGCACAATTTCTCTCATGTTTATCTCTCAGCATCAAAGCTGGCTCATCCAGGTCCCAATTCCTAAGCTCTCACCAGCCCTTTTCTTCTGAAACTCACGGAGATGCCCACATTTATGCCCGCCCTGACGCCCCCACCCGACGCCCATCGGGCCGAGAAGGGAACTGGCTCTAGGGTGGACAGTGTCTGCTGGCCTCAGGCCTGCAGGGGACAAGGGCCGAGCTCGGGGACGAGAGCCAGGCGAGGATAAACCGGCCTGGAGGAAGCGTGGACGGGATGAGAGAGCTCAGGGCGCCAGCCAGACGCCTCGGGGCTGTGGTGGGGGCTGGGTGGGGGTGAGGAAGAGGAAGGAGGAAGGGGTGGCGTTTGGGGGTGAGTAGGCGCTTCTGGAACTGTGGCTGGGTGGGGCCCCCACTTAACCCCGGGGGGTGGAGGGGGTAGGATTAAGAAGCACAGAGGTGGGGTCAGAATTGGGAAGAAAGCCACAGGGGGGACCGGAGGAAATTTGGAAAGAGAGCGAGTGATGTCATCATGAAAATAAGGGGTAGAGGTGGAGCGGGTGAGAGTTCACCTCAGAACTGGGGAGGCCCACACTGGCTGCTGAGGCCCCACTGGCAGGGGTCAGATCCAGTGCTAAACGATGCTTTTTAAAAAAAAATAGTCGATACTGTTTAACAACTTTTACTATTTTATTTTATTTTTATTGTTTTTTGGTATCAGGGGTTGAATTCCGCGGTGGAACCACTGAGCTAAATCCCCAGCCCTTCCTTAAATTCTTTTATTGGTACATTTTAGGTATCCAGTGCGTTTACCTTCATCATCAGGAACTTGTACCTTTACAGGATGTACCTTCCTTCTTATTTTTCCCCTTTCCCCCCGCTCTCCCTTCAACTCCTCTACCCCTCCTTATTTACAAAGACTTTGTTCCATGTTTTCCTTCTCTCATATTTAAAAGATTTTTTTTTTTTTGGTGGTACGGGGGATTGAACTCGGGTCCTTGCGCTTGCAAGGCAGGCCACCGAACCTCTGAGCTACATCCCTGGCCCTAAAAGATGTTTTTTAATAAAGGGTCTATCTGTGCATCTCCAGTATCTACAAAATGAGCATGTAAAAGGTTTTATTTTG